TGAAAACTGATTAAAATAGTGGCCAGAATTCTATTGGGATTTCACTTAGGAATAAACATAACTGCCTAAGCCATACCAGCAATTGCAACTAATTAAAGAGATGGCAGTTGTATACCATGTTCAGTAGCTGTAATTTGTTTCTGCAACTTACATTATTACCATAATTTTTGCCAGAGTAAAACCTCAATAGGATTCTGGCTATTATGTTCCAAATATGGACCTTTTTTTCTTCTGATTTTTAATTGGTTTTTAACTCATGTAGTTGCATAATAATCCATTAATTAATGTTTATACAGTATATATAATCATGAACTTGCCCATAACTTTTATCATTTTTCAAGGCAGAGGAATTATTGTGCAATAAAAAGGTAAAGGTTCCCCTTGACATTTAGTCCAGTTGTGTTCAACTCTAGGGGGTGGTGCTCATCCCCATTTCCAAGCCATAGAGCCAGCGTTTGTCCAAAGACAGTTTCCGTGGTCACGTGGCCACTGCGACTAAACACAGAATGCTGCTACCGTCTCACCGAAGTCGTACCTATTTATCTACTCGCATTTTTACATGCTTTCGAACTGCTAGGTTGGCAGGAATTGTACAATAGGGTGAAACAAATTAAGAAAGAGAATTTCAAGGACTATATACCAATGCATCTCCTGCTTGAAGTTTTCCAACCTAGAATGTTTTGTACATTATGTCCACACTTGCAACCACAGAGTGCAGGGGTCTTTACAAGTGGTTCACGAGCTACAACAGGGTTGAAGCCCACCCAAAACTTTGGTTTACAGCATCATCATTAGCCTTTTTTGATATTAAGGCCTTTTTAAAGAAAAGAGGAATGGGATGGTGATTTGAAGAAGCAGAAAAGTACAATCAAAAGGAAAACAGGAAAAGTACACACAAATATGATAAACTGCCAAGTGGTCCCATATTATAAGCTAGGTTTTCCATCACCTCATTAGTGTTTTCATTGAAGAGGCCCACACCATCGAAGGGTAAATTCTCGATACGGGCCCTAGCATCATCGGTGATTCCCACAGACCACAGCCATGCATGCCATCTAAGGGCGATAGCAGAAGCCAGAGATTTTGAAGCAGTGCCAGCAGTATCACGGGCCGCCAGACGCTGTGGTTTAGCTAGAGTAGTGGCCTCAAGATGGGTGTTGACAGCAGCAGTCCTAACTTCTTCAGGAGCAGCTTGGAGGACAGGGAGGATCTTATTCCACAGTTGCCTGTGGTAGGCCCCCATCGCTGCCTGGGAGTTTGAGACCCTTATCATGAAGGAAGCCAAAGAATATAAACGATGTCCCAGTATGTCAAGTTTCCTTCCCTCCTTGTTAGTAGGGGTAACTGGGGACCAATTGCCTGCTCGGGACTGGTTTGAATGCACAATAATGGAATTTGGTGGAGGATGTTTGATTAGGAATGCTGTATCGGTACCGTGAGTGCGGTAGTGATTCTCCACCCATCTCAAGATCTGTAAGGACACCAATGGTTTGTCCCAAGATTCCTTAATAAGGTCCAACATGGCTGGGATGAATGCCAAACTTAATGGAGGAGATTTTTCCTGATTAATGTTCTCAAAAACAAGATCATGTTTGGGAGGAGATGGCTGTTCAATGTCTAATTCCAGTGATTTGTCCATACAAAGAATGAGCTGTGCGTAAGAAGTAAAATCTTCACATGGCAATGAAGGGTGCACATCTGCAACATCAGAATCTGGGGTTGGTAGATTTGATGGGGACTCCCTGGAAGACTCAGAGGGAGGATTATGATCAGAAACCTTCAATGCCAAAGATTGTTCAGAGATGGAAAGAGCTGGTGAGGGAGAACAATGATGATGTCGAGAAATAGAAACAAGAGGCACTGAGACCTGACGGTCGGAGCAGGATCCAGATAGGGGAACAGACAGTCGTGAGCTCGAAACTGCCAGTATCGTGGAAGAGTGTTGCTTTGATAGAACAGGCTCACGTCGAGCTGACTTGTGCTGAGCCAGAATTGGGTCACGACAAAGTACTACAGCACCAGGAAAATGGTGTTTAGATTTCTTGGACCTCGGCATCATCGGAGCGGGCTCGGTGTCGACTCCAAACAGGAGGCAGCGGCGACGATGATTCAGACGGGCCATAAGCATACCGCACTGTTTGGGATGTTCATAATACTCTGCAACAAACGCCGGGTCATATTGGTCAAATCAGTATCAATGATGGTCACCATATCTATCAATGTCGTAAAGAGGTTGTCCATATTCAGAAGAGGCATGGCATTGAGATCGACACAGGACAAAGATCACCTCTCGAGACTGTGGAGGTGGGAGAGATGTGACACCTCTTTGCTGTCCTCTTCCTCAGAGGGGATTGAGAGATCGATGCCTCTGAGTTCGATAGGTGTATAACAGCTGCCCGCCCAATCAAAACAAGGTTAGAACGGGCTGAGGCTGGGCTTGATATGATATCAGCTTCTGAACAGCCATGACTTGGCGACAAGTTTGGTATGGAGACTGAAGCTTGAGCCCAAGTAGGAAGATTTGATTCCCCTGCCTCAGAGATGGAGCCTTGGTCTGGGATGTCCCTCAACAATTCTTCCAGGATGGAAGATGGAAGGGACACATGAACAACTGGAGGCTCATGAGGCTGATGAGGTTTAGAAGCCCACTTTGTTTTCTTCGGCTTGATCTTGTCTTCATCTTTTTGCTTAGTACCAGATTGAGTCTTCGCCTACACTGAAGAGGTCTTCGACATCGAGGTTGACACCGAAGGCAATTTAGGCTTTGAAGCTTTGGTAGAGGACCTCGGTGATGGAGTCATAACAGCCATAGAGGACTCAGAACAAGCCTGTGAAACGAGTAAGTTCCATTATAAGACTGGTTGGCCTGAGGAGGCCATAAAAGAAGGGCGAGAAGGGGGGAAGGAGAAAAGACAAAGAAAAATAACTCACAGGGAAGTCTGTAAATGAAAAACTTGAGTCCATAATCCAGAAGTATAAATCATAAACAGTCCAAAAATCAGTGTACCGTTAATAGAACCACAAATAGAATCACAATCACAAGCTCTAAATCACAAGAAGTCCGATTTCAGCGGCGGCTAAAATAAACTGAGGTATTACGGGTGGTCGGAGCATGCACATCACTGGGCAATGTCCTACTAATCACATTTTTTTAAGCTCTAGAATATTCTGAGGAGTCCTGCGCGGACTCAGTAAAACCCATTTGTGTGCATTCACAGAGGTCACGAAGAAGAAGCCCTAGATCTCTTGAAACATCATCTAGCCTGTGCCATTCTTACTCCAACTGTAAGGCAGGGACAAGAAAGCTGGAAAAAATTCCCTGAGTGCCATGAAAATTAGTATTAACTAAGTAAAAAGGAGAGATCCCAACAGAGCCTTTGTGTATTATACAGAATTCTTGACATGTAATAATGCACTCTGCTCTGACACCTTAGGGACGTGGTGACGCTGCGGGCTAAACCGCAGAAGCCTGTGCTGCAGGGTCAGAAGACCAAGCAGTCGTAAGATCGAATCCACACAACGGAGTGAGCGCCCGTCGCTTGTCCCAGCTCCCGCCCACCTAGCGGTTAGAAAGCATGCAAATGCAAGTAGATAAATAGGGACCACCTCGGTGGGAAGGTAACAGTGTTCCGTGTTTAAGTCGCACTGGCCATGTGACCACGGAAGATTGTCTTCGGACAAACGCTGGCTCTATGCCTTGGAAACGGGGATGAGCACCGCCCCCTAGAGTCGAACACGACTGGACAAAAATTGTCAAGGGGAACCTTTACCTTTATCTTTACCTGACACCTTGCTTGTGGAAGATATGGCTGCAAGAATCAAAACTTTTGATAACAAAAAAATTAGAGAAACCATTCTCAGTGTTCAAAGGGATGTTTAGTAGAGCCTTCAGGATGAAATGCAGATTTCAGAGCAGATAGTAATGGATGGCTGATGGCTTAATAAGTACCACACGCCGAAAGAACTACTTAATATAAGAATGACAAGCAACTCTCAGAAATTTATTGGACAGAGAAAGCTATCAACTAAAATGTATTAGAAGATAAGACATTATCTACCATCTCCTAAAGGAAAGCCAAAATTCAGACAGAAGTCGGGATCACATTCCCTCCCATTCTACAATATTTCTTCTAAGTACTCCAGGGTGGGCACAGAACAGGTTCATCGAAGATTCTGGCAACACCCTAATTCACCAGTAGCCATGGGATGATGATTTCCTTCCTCTGCCCTAGAATATAAGCACATATTCTGCCACTTATTAGGATTTTACGTGCAACACAAAGTGCAGTAGGTACAGTAGGAGTGCTACTCTTTGGCATGAGGAATTGTTTTCTGAAAGCCCAGAATTGTTATTTGAAATAAGTGTTGTTGCTCTTACTAAGCGTGGTCCAAGAAGAGGAAGGTAAGAGGAGAAGGAAAGATTAGGCTTTTTTTCCAGAAAGGAGAAAAAGAAAGTGGCAAGTTGAGAAAAACAAGCAAGACATCTTAACAAGGATGAGGCAGGAAGGAGACTGGAGTTCTTGGCAATGCCTTCCTATGCCAGAAGGGATCTTGGGTCTGGAAGACTGGTTAAAAAGAAGCTGACTACTGAAACAAATCAGAAGTACAACCCAAATTGAGGATGTCCTTCACTGTTGCAGGAGAAAATGCCACTTTACCATTGGCCACTTTATTATAATAATATATCCAGTAAAAATATTCTCTGTCAACAAGCGACAATCTGAAGCCTCTGTAGATCTTAAATCTGCATTGATTTTGACATTTAGATAGCACCTACAGGGTGAATTAGAGCTGGAGCATGCAAGCCCTGAGGAGTCAAAAGCCAATTTTCAGATTTGCCAGCAGTTCAGAGACTGCATTCCAGAGGGACTACCACTGAAGGGGAACAGGCATGGCTAGAAGGACAAACTATATGCAAGTTCATAATCCATCCAATCAAAGAATTTCATAAATAAGCAATTTTGTAATTTTTGTCTTTTATTCACATGAAGTGTACTTACTCTGTTATGTGACCAGGAACAGTCAGAAAAAGCAGCAGCCACTTCAGTCACAGCTGTCTGTTTTACAGAGGGTCTAGGAGACAGGAAATGGCATGATTGTTTCTTATTAAGAAGGAATGTGCAAAACAATGAAATGTGGCACTGTAATGCAGCAGATTAAGGGACTATGATGCCTGCGCACTTTTTGCTGTATGTAAAATCCTAACAAGTATATGCATATGAGATGGAAAACAAAACAATGACCCACAGATTGAAAATGTTCAATACATGTTCCAACCTCAAACAAAAGAGTTGTCAAAGATTACTAACTACAGTAAGCAACCTGACGTTCAAGATTTTACAAAGGAAACCTCTGCCATATATAGAGCAAGAAATGCCAAAGGTGGGTCAAGAAAATAAGAGGCACTAGAGATCATATTGTAAACATACACTGACTACTCAAATGTACCAAATAATTCACAAGAAAATCAGTTTGTGTTTCATAAATTACAGTGAAGACTGGACAAAAAAGCTATGGGTTTCTTCTAAAAGAAACTTGTGTATTACATTTAATGTCCTGATATACTCCAGGGCAGAATGCAGAGAAACAAAATGGTTTCCTATTGGTGAAAGTATCAGATGAGGGCACATTTTCTAATCTTTACAATCTATATGCATATGATGTAAGAAGTTGGATTAGAATCAGATGAAAGAAGAGTGAAAACTGGTGGAAACACCAATATTTTAAAATATGCTCATAACACCATATAACTAGAAGAAAGCAATAACTCAGAAAATTAAAAATCAGTTGAACATGAAAATAAAAAAATACTACAGAATAAACCCCACACCCATACTTGCTCAAACCCAGCATCAAAAGATCTGATCTTAGGCAGCCTCATCACCAAGCAAGCTGGTCAAGATATGCTGCCATCTTTGTGGGACAAGTTCTCAGGAAAGCAAGGAATGCAATTTCTCCAGAGAACCCTTTGACTCAAAGTTGGTTTTTACTTTCTTACAGGTTGCCTCAAATGAACATTCAGAAGGGCTGTTTTCTTAGCCGCCCAGAGTGGTCGAATAGACCAGATGGGTGGGATATATATATAGGTTTCTTTCCATTGAAGGGGAATTCGAAAGAATTTATTTATTTACTTATTTACTTATTTATTTATTTATTTATATTCTTTCGAATTCCCCTTCAATGGAAAGAAACCTAATTATACTATTTTAATTTCATTCTGAGCCTGTGACAGAAATAAAGGTTTATTAATATTTCTGAAGAGAAAAGTATATCTTTAAAAGGCAACAATAATTAAAAAAGTATTTTCAGGTCCCTTATCTTCAAACAGTTTAAATTGATTTCTAAAATCTGACGTTATTGCCATAAATCTCTCTTGAAGCAAGGAGTGCACATATGACAGTATTTATAAACAGTATCAGCTGACTGATATATTTAGCTGTCTTCCCTTCTTAATTTAACTTTGATTTATTATTCTTTGAAAAACCATGGTCAAAGTAGTGAGTGCCATTAGGAGCCAACATGGCGCTGCTGAGAAACAGGAAGACACTAGCATACTCTATAAGTTTGTTGAAGTTGTAAAAAATATTTTCAAAGACTCCCAAGAGGTTAAACAAACATATCAAGGTCTTTGCATTCTTTGTAGAGAACATTAAATGCCAGATGGAAAATAAAGGAGGAGAGAAGGGTACAACAGAATAGTCAGTCTCTATGGAATGGAACTCCAAATAGAAGCACTCTTCTTTGGAGATAAGGATATAAACATCTTCCTTCAACAATGCTGGGGTTAGGGGAACCAGACCCCCCCCCCGTGTGTGTGTGTGTGTGTTTCATCAGCAATAAAACAAGTCAAAAGAGTAATCCTTTGGTCTAGATGGGCGGGGCAGAAATCCAATAAAAAGACAGAGACGGACGGACGGACGGACGGACGGACGGACGGACGGACGGACAGACAGACAGACAGACAGACAGACAGACAGACAGACAGACAGACAGACAGACAGACAGACAGACAGACAGGATAGAAGAGTGGTAAGCTTCAATAGGAGCATATATATTTTTCAAAAAGGTTTGCTTGGATTTGGATGGTAAAGATAGATAGATGTGGGTATCAGCAGCATAAAGGTGGCATTAAATCTCAAAGCCCTGAGCAACCTGCAGCAATTTCATGTAAGTGTTAAATAGCATGGACAGAATAAAACTCTGAGGGATTTGCTATTCACTAAGTGCACAGAACAGGAATTCCCCAGCACAACCTTCTAAGCATGTCCTTCCAAAATGGACTGGAAGCAGTGTAAAATATTGCCTACAAGTCCCTTTCCAGGGCAGCAGCCAAGGATACCATAGCCAGCACTATCAAACTCCTCTCAGAAGTCTAGAAGAACTGTGCATTTCCCAGTAACCAGGAGCACTTCTAATTTTAACTCAGTTAAACTTCAATTTTTTCACCACCATCCATTCTATTATTGACACAACTGTCTATATCCTATAACTAGGTCTAAGTCAGACTGGAATGGATCTAGATAATCTGTTTTATTCAGGAACTCTTGGAGTTGAAAAGTCACTACACTTTCTAGTACACTGCTTAGGAATGTAACATTGGAACCTAGCAATTAGTTACACAGTACAATGGGGTTCATTAAGGTTTTTTTTTCAGTTACGATCTTACCATCATCTCTCAAGCAGGCTGGAATCATGCTCTGCTGTAGAGAGGTGTTCTTCACTCCTCCTACCCACTAAACCAGTACACTTCTGGCTGCTTTTATAAACATGTAACTAACTCCATCACACACAACATAACTCCAGCACATACAAGGTAGCTCTAATGTCTCAAAGGATCCTGCACACAGCCTCAGGCTACACAAATTGAAACATGCCCATTAACACTGAATAATCAGTGGCCAAATATACATTCAATAGACCTATATCTATTACATTACCAAGGTCTGGCATATCCAAGTCAACCTATCACATTTTTCACAGCAGGACATTTGAATTCTCTTCTTGTGGGCCAGGTCATAACAGGCCATTGGATGACTGTACAGATGCAATGATGGCATACAAAGGTATCTTGGCTACCAACATAGCCATGGAAAATTCTTTCCACTGAGCTCTACCCTATGTTCAGTTGGACATGTTCTAAGTTTTCCACCATTTTCAATCCAATCTTTGAATCTTTGCTTCCCAGTAAAGCAGATGCAAGCTTTGAATTAAACATTTGGAAATCCATCCAAAGAAGTTCTATATAGAAAAGGAGGAAAACTGAGAAATCCATTATATTTAAAAATTGAACAGTAGGCATCCATATACTTATTAAACAAAATGTTCAGTTTTTGATGTTTTAGATCTACTAGTTCTGTTATCCTGACAATACTGTTCTTCCCCTCTGCACATGAACCACTGTCACTGCAGAGTTAGCAAAACAGCAGGTACACATATCATTTAACCAGGGAATATCTTGAGATCACATTCGTTACTTGCTTCCAACTATATTTGATAAGGTCAAGGGTGCAACAGTCAACACATCATTGCACAATCCTCTGGTACAGCTTCCTAAGGCTGTTTAATAGAGAAATCCATGCTTTTGGAAGAAAACAACTAGTACAGAGATTACGAGCACATGTACTAAGGTAGTGAGGGCCCCCACATCGAGATAAGGCCACAGCTTGGCTATCCGCCTAAGATGATAGAAGGCGGTTCGGACCACGGATGCCACCTGGGATTCCATAGTTAGTGCCGGGTCGATAGATCCCCAAACTGCGGACTCCATCCTTGGCAGGAAGGGTCACCCCCTCAAAGGAGAGGGAGTTTCCCAAACCCCCCACTGTGGGGACACCCACCCTCAGCACCTCCGTCTTGTCCAGGTTCAGCCTCAGCCCGTTCTCCTGCATCCATCGCAGTACGGTCGCCAGGCAGCGCTGAAGGGACAGAACGGCATCTCCTGCAGAAGGTGGAAAGGAGATGTAGAGCTGAGTATCAGCAGCATACTGATGACATCGAGCTCCACACCCCCGGATGCCCCCTCCCAGCGGCCTCATATAGATGTTAAACAGCATTGGGGAGATAATCGACCCCTGTGGAACCCCACAATTGAGCCTCCACGGAGCCGAGAAACTCTCCCCAAGCTGTACTCTCTGGGGGCGGTCCTCCAAGAAGGAGCAGAGCCAAGCCAACGCAAGGCGCCCAATTCCCAACTCAGAGCGCCTCCCCAGGAGGATACCATGGTCAATGGTATCAAAGGCCGCTGAGATATCGAGGAGGGCCAGCAGGGATACTTTTCCCCTGTCGGCCTCCCTCAATAGGTCATTGCACAGGGCGACCAGTGCCGTTTCTGTACCACGGCGCAGCCTGAAGCCCGACTGAAATGGATCCAGGGCATCTGTTTCATCCAGGTGCGCCTGGAGCTGATCGGCCACCACCCTCTCAACTACCTTGCTTAGGAAGGAAACACTGGCGACGGGCCTATAATTGCCAATTTCGTCCGCCGCCAAACTTGGTTTCTTCCTAATTGGCCTAATGAGTGTCTCCTTGAGAGCAGATGGAAATCTACCCTCAAGGAAAGACCCATTAATTATTACAGTGGCCCATTCCGTTGTTGTAGGCCTGGCCGCTTTGATTAGCCAGGCCGGGCAAGGGTCAAGGGAGGAGGGGGTGGCACGACAGCGATCAAGCGCCCTGGCCACAGTGTCGGGCGTGACAGGCTGAAAGGAATCAAAAGCCACTGGGCTGGACATCTCAGCTCGACTCACTGTGTTCAAAAAAGGAGACAATCTTTTTTTATTGCAAATCTTAGTTTGTTGAGATTCTTTCACCCTTGGGTGCAGATATTGCTTTGCTTATACCCTAAATCTAAATAAAGGTTCAAACACAAAAAATTTTAAAGGACATAGTGTTTTTTAAATCTTCACTCATCACATCATTTTCTAGGTAAGAATCAATACATTTTGGGATGCTCTGATAGTTAAGCAAAAATGTACAGTTGCCAAAAGCCATTCTTTTGCCAAAAGAAAGATCTTGCCCCTGAAATCATGGCACATCTTTGTATCACAGGGTCAAGGACAAAATAAAACATCCCT